TGACATTTTTATTTTTTCTCGTTTCCATGGAGATAAGTTGAACATAGGCTCTGAATGGGGGTAAGCTTTGTTTCCTGACCATAACTCAGAAACCGTTTAATATTTTTTCGCGAAACTTTGTATACACATTAACCCAGCACTGAAGTGGTGCCTTTTGCTATTTAGAGATTTTTGACATTTTTATTTTTTCTCGTTTCCATGGAGATAAGTTGAACATAGGCTCTGAATGGGGGTAAGCTTTGTTTCCTGACCATAACTCAGAAACCGTTTAATATTTTTTCGCGAAACTTTGTATACACATTAACCCAGCACTGAAGTGGTGCCTTTTGCTATTTAGAGATTTTTGACATTTTTATTTTTTCTCGTTTCCATGGAGATATCTTGAACATAGACTCTGAATGGGGGTAAGCTTTGTTTCCGGACCATAACTCAAAAACTGTTCAATATTATTTCATGAAGTTGTAACATATTAACCAAGTCCTGAAGTGGTGCTTCTTGCTATTTAGAAGTTTTTCACATTTTATTTTTTCTTGTTTATGGAGACAAGTTTAACTTAGACTCTGTATTGGGATGGGCTTTGTTCCAGAACTAAACTCAACACCCCTTCAATATTTCTGTGTCTTTTGCTTATAATGAAATTTAAGAATTTGATCTTTTCAATATTATTGAATTCAAAGCAATTCTAGAATTAAAATATTGTGAATTATTTTTGTGGGAATGAACAGATGGGGTTTAAGGTGAAGTAAACGAATGAATGGGGGTTAGGGGAGTGGGGGGAGACATATGTTTTTACGAGAACAATGAACAATAACTTCAAATATAGTTGATGGTGCCACAGAGAGTTGGTACAACCCTCTGGGCCGTGGAGGAGAGGTCTGCTTGGTTTGAGTGTCAAACCCCTACTGCCTAACATCTTATTTCTGTATGTATTTAACACAAATTTGAACAATAAAAGGAATATATTAGGTTGTTGATTCACAATGGGGTGTGCCCTACGGTTAATGAATGTCTAGACAGAGGGGAATACTTAATCCTGTTGGACTGGCACTAATCTTGTTGACATATTTACCAGGTGCTTGGATAGAGATTATGGTATTACAATAGATGAGCATGTCTGGGGGCTAAACCTTATTGAGTCTAAATGGAACTATTTGCTGAAAGCTATTCTACTATAGGTGATGACAGATTTACTCTCTTTAAAACTATGTCATAGCGACTGATTTTGGACAACCATTGTCTGCAGAACATTTGATTCCAAAGGCTCATTACCCAGTAGCCATGGCATGTATATGTCTCCATAACTTAGTTGGCATTATTTATAAGACACTAACCTCCCGTTGTTAATCCTCATCAACATTTCATTGTACATTGACTGTCAGCCAACCTTGGCTACCATATCACTTCCCGTTAATTACTGCTATTTTTAGTATGACATTTATTGCCAAAATTGTTCATTCCCTGAGCTGTGTCGGTTCATCATGCCCATATGTCCAATGTCCAGAGCAACATCGTTGTCTCTTTGTCTGCCCATTATTGTTTGTACTGGAGACGAGTGTGGTTTAGCAATGAATCACGATTTCTTCTTCACCGTCGAGATGGGAGACAACATGTTTATCATCATTGAAATGAGTGTTTTGCCCCACATTGTGACAATTTCGGCGACGGTAGTGTCATAGTTTGGGGGGCCATAGCCTACACCACGAGATCTGACTTGGTTGTGGTTCAGGGAAATTTGACAGCAAATCACTACATGAATCAAATTCTTCAACCTCACCTTCCAATCATTGACCGCCAGAGTGAGCTGTTTCAACAGGACAATGATCCACCACACACAGCTTGTGTCATGGTAGACTACCTTCATAATGCCAAAATCAATGCCTTGCCCTGGCCATCGAGATCTCCAGATGTCAACCCAATCGAACACCTCTGGGAGGAACTGGATTGCCATGTACGTCAACGTCAGAACACGCCACAGACACTCCCACTGGCCAATGCGTTACAAGCAGAATGGTGCAGAATTCCGCAGGACAGAATTCATACACTTATCCAGACAGTGCTGAGGAGATGCAGAGCCGTGATTGCTGCCAGGGGCGGTCACACGAGATACTGAGTTCAGCGCAACCTTGTGGCCTTATATGGCACGATAATGAACAGCTTTCAATGCCTTTGTACAACGACAACAAGTGACTATCGAGCTCCAAAAATTCATATTTGTATCTATCATATTAAATTAAAAATATTGACTTTATTAGGCACAATATATTTATTAAAAATCTACCTATGCGTTTCTTTTTTGGAAGAGTGTATATTACTTGCTGTTCTATAATTATATGAAGAATTGTATAAATGTTACACCATGATAACTTATAAAATCACTTGCTGTTGATCTGATTATTATATGAAAACTTAGTTTAAATGTTACATCTTGATATATCCCCTAATGACAAAGGTTCATTTCAAGGCATCAATAGTGGTAATCAGATCATGGTTGCTGTCAATAATGGTGAGTTGAAGCGATCTGCCAATCATTTCACACATGATTTTGCCGAAATTAATGAAAATAATAATGACTGAAATCTTGCATAATGTAAGTCCAGATACACAATGAATACTTTCAGAACGACATGTCATTTCCGGTGTTACATGCTCATGGGAACGTATGCACCTCTTCACAGCACTATATTTTGGAAAATAAGTATGCACTATTCACAAGAAAATACAGTAGTCATACATTCCAGAGTACCCTTTTTTGGTTTTGTCATTTTAGTTTAATAAACCTGAACTATTTGATTGGCATTTATTAGTTAAGAGATAAATGATGAGTGGGAGTTCATTAAATAAAACACTGCAGGGAGAATAAATCATGAAGGGCGCAGCGACCATGAGCCATTTATTTCTTATATGAGAAATCAACATTATGTACAGCCTCTTTAAGAATGATGATAAAATGTACAAGCTTTAAAACTATTTGTCCGTATTTTAATGATGATGAGTCCAGGAATAAAATCCGACCTCAACAATGCCGAACAAGTCCATTTTATGAACAGGTGGGTTTGGTGTTGGTATTTGCTGCATATACACACAGTCCTCACATTGATTATCTGTACCTTTTCTCCCAATACCGATTGTCATACTTTTGGATGCCATCGCTGGGCCACTGTGTTTATCTGTGTACTACAGCTATATTAATGGAGAACGTCTCACAAGACACTTCCCTCTCAAAAATAGCGTCTTCCAAAATACAATGTCATCAAGTTGCGAGCACAGTTTGACTCGGTGGCTGCTAATGAGAATGATGATTTTGGAAGAGAGAGCCACAGAGAGGTGTTGGTGTCCTAGGGTCGAAGACCCGGACCACCTCTGCATTGTCCTGGGGTGCTCCTGACCCAGCCTAGGGATATCCGGACCTGGGGTCACAGCGACCCGGTCATCCCTGGGGGAGCTCCTGATGACCCAGCCTAGGGATATCCGGACCTGGGGTCACAGCGACCCGGTCATCCCTGGGGGTGCTCCTGATGACCCAGCCTAGGGATATCCGGACCTGGGGTCACAGCGACCCGGTCAACCCTGGGATCTACCAGTCCTGGGGCCGTAGCGACCCGGACTATCCCGTGGTGTGAATGTGGCTGCTCCCTATGAGTTGGGGGGGGGGGGGGAAAGCCCGCCCAGAAGTTGGTGAGAAAGCCGAAACAGCAACAGGGCCAGCCCCTAGTGGTGGCAGGGGACGGATGGTGGTAGCATGAGACAAAGGCTTCTAAATGGTGACACAGCATGAACAGGAAGGGTTACAGGAAGGATACCTGCGCATATGCCTGTTATGTAGAAGAATGCTGGGAAGTGATATTTATACTAATATAATTATTGCTAATAAAACAATGGAACAGCCTTATTTAGATGTACAAGAAAAGTGGTAATATGTTACAACTAAAAAACATAAATTTTGAGTAAGAATTTGTTGGTAGGAGAATACGAAACTGACTGGTTAAAAAAACAGAAGTTGGATAAGATACAAATTACGAGCTACGAGGTTGATGGAGGGAATTAAAATGAATGAATATTTAAAGTGTTTTGGGGAAGAGATACGTAAAGAGAACATTTGATGAAGTAGATATGGAATAGAAATTTAAAATGGATGCTTTATAATCGAAACATGCGAGGTATACGTGGCAAGGAATAAGATTTATAATATACATGGATGTAAAGCCTGAAATTGGGTAGGATAATGTACTGATGAAGGGACATGATATCGCTGCACAAACAATAATATCAAATTAACATTATTTTGTTCGGTGATTCCATAATTCAGATCGATAACCCACTCAAAACACTGGACTCAACCCATGCCGCTTCACTCAGTATATTTGTTAACACCAAAGAGTTCGCGTTTTATTTAGTCATGGTAGAATGGAGATAAACATACTGTGTTTTGAATGTAGAGCTGCGCCTTCGGTTCCAAATTCAATGTAGCGCGGTTAAATCTACAGGTAACCTAGCTCTACATTTAAAACACAGTATGTTTATCTCCTAAATGTTGCTCTTAATATCAGTCACTTGATTGTCAGCTCCAGACTTGATTGTTTTCATTCCAATATAATATACCTGGAATATTGCTTAGTGTGGTGCTAATTAGCAAACAAACATATTTCAAAAGGGGGGGAACATTCATGATTTCGTATTATTGATTTTATTGTTAATTGACAAGTTATTCTTCAAAATAGTTCTGCTTTCATGTTTTGATGTTATAGACTTCATAACTTCATAATATGTTGCTGAAAGACAAGTGATGGGACTGTGGGCATATGGCATCTACTGACATATTTTGTTGATTAAAATCAAGAAGACTTCCTTTAAACTATTTGTTTGATCATCTAATCTTGTTTCCTTTTCAAGAATGTCTAGTGCGCAAAATTGGCAGTTTGTTGGTGCATTTGAAAATTTATCACGTCATGACATGTTTTTTCTGGATCAGTTCAGTAACTGTATTTCATGTTCTGTTGCAGCAAAACCTCAGAGGATTTAAAGAAGATGTGAATATAACTTGTCTGCTGATACCCCTGCACTTGGGTTCAAAAGGGTTAAATCTTATAGAGGCTACTCATGTTTTGCTGGTTGAACCTATTCTCAATCCAGCTGAGGAACTGCAGGCTATTGGCAGAGTTCATAGGATAGGCCAGACAAAGTAAGTAACGCACACAGCCATAATCTGGATCATATATGTTGTAAAATACTGTAGTCAGCAATATCAAGTCTGGATTAGGCACACCAGTGACAGAAACATGTACAAGACTCACAACACAAGTGCATGATGACATGTAATCACCCAATCACCTTGACCCTGTGTTCCAATTTAGTCGTTTATAATAACCAGCAATAAAGTGCTAGAGACATATTCAAAGCAAGGTCCCCACTGGTTCACAATATTATCATTCACAGACGTTTAGTCAGAAGACTTTGGTGACAACAGAAACTGTAGTTTTGAGTAAAGAGAAGAGATGGCAACATCCAATGGAATGCACAATAAAAAGGTGCCATGGTCCATTTAGGTGACTTGAGGTTGAACACATAAATTGTCCACCAGAAGATATGCTAACTGACTGTGTGGTTTTACCAAATTTGGTGTATTTATGGTCCCTTGTAAAAGACATTTTATGTTTGAGCCAGAGACGTTAAATTTATAAACTTATCCTATATCACACTATGTATTTCTTCCTTCTTCTTTCGATCCTTGTGTGGAAACATCCTAAAACAAAGTTTCCAGCTTCTAAAACCATTTCACCCGAACACCCCTCACATCAACAAAGTCACCACCCAAACAATTGGGTCGTGGACTACAATCCTAAACACCGTAACTGGAGTGAAGATAACGTCTAAAATTCAAAACAATAAACTATTGAAACAGGCTAGTTCAAACTTTTTAATTTATCTAATCAATTACACTATTTTCTATAATGAACAGTTTTATCCACTAATTGTAGATAAGTTCTCTTTTATATGTGAATCCTGTTACTATGTTGTTTTATAACAACGTTTCTATTCTAAATTCCCATATTGGGACGAAACGACAAGCACATGTTGCCACCTGACAACTTTTACACAACTAAACTGAAAACCACAGTGACGTGACATGTAAAGTTCATCTTGCACGTGAAACACAACATTTTCATGTCCATTTCATGTTCGTTTGGGTATGTTTTGGCACACTGTTTTACTGTTGCATTTTGTCACACAGTCCTTCTGTCCATTGACTATAGTTAGATAGTTGAATTTCACTTAAATAAATCTGTCCTCATTTCACTTTGCACAGTTCTTTGCACAATCGTGATTCTTTTTCTATATGTTTATCTTCAATGCTTTATCCATGAAGGTATATGTTGCGTAGTAACATAAGTTTAACTTCCGGTCGGGCGGGCTGCGCACGCAGCCTGAACTTATGTGAGTTTTTCAGCGGCCACGCAGCCTTAAGCTTTCCCTCAGGAATTGGGTATTGTTACCTCTTTTTTCTTTGCTCAATATCAGTGACTATGTGAATTACTCTCACGGGATGCCACACCGTACCCATAGGAAAGGCCAAACTGAAGAAAGCTAGTCGTTCTCAAGCGGAATTTGAGGAAAATGAAAGTGGGTGGACGCAAAGGAGCGGTCTTTCGCTACCATAGGGGAGCTGCCCGCCAAGGGGTTGTCTACACTGCGCCTCATGTCACAACTGCTCACTCAGGATATACTCGATGCTCACTTCTCTGATTGTTTACCGTTGGCACAAACACTTTTGCTGAAGATGGCGGTCAAGAATTTAACTCCTGAAACGTGGGAAATTGACAAACCGAGACTGTCAAACCGGTTTGCTCTCCGAGTGACGTCACCAACAAAGATGGTGACTCCTATGATAGCCTGCCATTTGCCATACCAGACAGGAAACCAGCTCTAAATAAGCCCCCTCAAGCCACACCAGTGACTCAGAATGACAGCCTCTCTGCGGAGGACATCGCTAACTTGCTCAACTTCCCCTTGAAGATCATGACTCTAATCCAGGTACAGAAATTTTTACTTTCGATCCGTTTTTGCATTCTCATGTTTCCGTGATATGGGGTTCCGGGACATTCCGCGATATCTGTGATTACGTCAGTTTCCCATCACCGGTGAGTGATAAAGGTGCAAGAATGGAAAGACAAAAACGAAAGACACGCCCCTGATAAAATATCCCCTTTGCAAAACTTCAAAGCATCCCTCAAGATACTCAGAGAAATGGTAATGAAAGTTGGAACACAGCAGGCGCAAGTGATGTATGACAAAGGTTATTGCATCAAGATTGCTACTCTGGGTCAGTCATTTACATGGCAGAGCTTACTACATGAAGATAGGGAATACAGGCAGAAACCGTGTGAACTGCAATTCCCTTGGGGGGCCAGACAATTCCTGTCATGCAGCTCTTGCTTGTGAAAAGAGAACAGCCAAAGCTCAGTGCAATACTCCAGCTAGGTCGCTCACTCGGATTGGGTCAACCTCGCCAGAGAGCCAAGATCAACCCATACTCAAACATACCAATATGCATCAAATGGAACTCGAGGGGCGGTTGTCCCTATACACCATGTCGTTTCACACATGTTTGCAGCATATGTTTTGCAACCAGTCACAAGATAATAGAGCATCCCTCAGTACCAGCGATGCAGTCTCATACTGGGAACTACACTAGTCAGCAGGGCAGTAAGCATGATACTATGGGCATGCCACAGCGTCAATAGCTGCCGATGGGACCTACACCATTTTTTCAGTAGGGCAGTGCCAGAGTTCCCCCTTGTCTCAGCTTGCAGCACAAATTCTATTCATGGGATTAAATGTTACAAGGGTACAGTGACAGTGAAGGGATATAAAACGGGTTACGAGAAGGCTTTGATAGTATCAACAGGGAAAAAATCCCTTCTATTGTACCCACCGAAGTAAACAATCATATGTCATGTTTCACAGCAGATAACTGCCTGAAGGTGGAGAAGAGGATTCACGAAGAATTGGAATTGGGGCATCATGAGACAGTATTATACAAGCCCCGCATTGTGAGTGCTCTTAGTGCCATGCCAAAGGGTAGCACAGACATCCGTTTGATTCATGATTTCAGCTTACCCAAAGGAGGGTCAGTGAATGATTTTGCAACTAAGGAGTCCTTCTCTTACCAGACAATTCATGATGTGCTGAAAGAGCTTCTGCCAGGCGCTTATATGGCTAAAGTTGACCTTAAAGCAGCTTATAGGAGTGTGGCAATACACCCTTCGAACTATGTGTGTACAGATCTGAAGTGGACTTTTACAGAGGATACTGTACCGACATATACGATTGATAAGTGTTTACCGTTTGGTGCCAGACGGAGTGCTTTCATATTCAACCGCATTACCCAAGCCATCAACCGATATTTTGCAAGTTAGAACCTGTGTGCAGTCGTGACATACTTAGACGACTTTTGGATTGAAGCCATTTCTTTGGAGAAGTGTGAACTTGCCCTCTTGTGCTTATTAGACTTTTACACCAACTGGGCTTTGAAATAAACTGGAACAAGGTCAGTGCTTTTCAGTACTTTATCCTTGAAACCTGATCTTTGGTCTTTTGAGTCTTCTCCTGAGTCATTCCTTTCCAGTGGGCTGATGTTCTTAATTGATCTGGTTAGTACAGTCTGACCAACCCTTACATCCACTACGCGAACGTGACCATCAGCACCAGGGTAAATCTTTATGATTGTTCCGAGCTTCCAGTGTTCTCTGGGCGTGTTTTGCGAGATCACCAGCAAGACATCATTTTCTTGCAAATCTTGACCTTGTTTGTTCCACATTTTGTGCATGTTGAGACTTAGCAACCATTCTCGCATCCATCTTTTCCAAAAATGGCGGACAAGTTCCTGAATTCTACTCCAGCGTCTTTTGGTGTTGAAGTCTGTTGTGTCCACACGTTCAGCTGCAAATACATGTCCAGCTTGTCCATAAAGGAAGTGATTTGGTGTGAGTGGTGTGTCATCTTGAGGGTGAGCTGACTGGTACATGAGTCGTATAAGAGAGGCCTATAAGATCCTCATCTGTGCTGTCACCTTTGATGAGGATAGCGTAGATTGCGCACTTTGCTGCCTTAATCATGGTTTCAAATATTCCCCCAAAATGAGGAGTATGCGGGGATTGAAAAAACATTTTACTCCTTATTTGCAAGAGATCTCATAACAAAATCTTAATCCATTTGTCGTACGAGCTCCTTCATTGCTTTAACTGCACCCATAAAGTTTGTACCATTATCTGATACCATGACTTCAGGAAGACCTCTTGTGTTTGCCATGCAATTGAATGCATTTAATAACAAGTCTGTATCTAGATCAAATGCAATTTTGAGATGCACAGCCCTAGTCTTGAGACACGTGAACAAACACAAATAACGCTTTTGTCTCTACTTATTCCTTCCTTGTACTGTTAAAATCGGTCCAGCAAAATCTACACCTGCATCAGTAAATGCTTGAAGTGAAGGTTGTACGCTGAACTTCGGTAATGGTGCCATCACTTGGTATACTGGCTTTGCTTTGTCTCGTTTGCACTTAGCACACTCACTTTCCGATTTTCTGATTTCTTTTCTTCCAGAGATGATCCAAAATTTGGACAATATGGCTGATAATGCCTGATATGTTCCCATGACATGATTTCCTGCCTCATGATAGTGCTTAACAATGAGTTACCCAATTATGTCGTGCCAGGATAATTGGGAATCTTGCTCCAAAAGAAAGACATTCAGCATGTCTCAACCGACCATTTACTCTCATGAGTCCCTGTTCTTCAATTACCGGTTGAATACTAAGGAGTTTGGAATTTGGAGACAATACTTTTTGTCCTTTTGACAATGCAGCCTACTCATCACTGAATTCATCCTTCTGAACCTGGGTAAGTATTCTAATTTCAGCATCTTTGATTTCATCTGAAGACTGTTCTGCTTTTGTGATGAACAGTTGTGTAGAAATCGATAGATCCATGCATTTACTCTTGTGAGTTTTTGCCAACTTGAGTATCTAGTTGGTTCAAGTCTCAAGGACTGTTCAGTGCTAACAGCGAGTAAAGCAGATATCTTGTTCACTTTTTCTTTGTCACTTTTTTCTTTGTCATTGTACCATGACATTTTATGCTCTGGCCATTCTGTTTCTTCTTTTTCTAGGAATTCAGGACC